AGCAAGAACCGGAGGAAAGTACGGGACGGCGGGGAACATCGTATTAAATCGGAAGATTGGAATTCTAATTAATACTCGCGGATTATCGATAAAGGGGCGAGAAGGGAACGAGCACGCGAGGAGATGGAAGAGGCAAGAGGAGGCGGTAGATAGCGGAACGATGACTCGTTCCGTTCGTTTCATCCTTCGCGCGTCTTCGACACTCGCCTTAATGTCTTCCCCTAACCGAACCCTCCGCCGAACTCGTTCTGGAGCTCGGAATAGATTATATCGTAATGAAAATCTTGACGTTTGACGCTCTGCAATTGATGACTCCATTCTTCCGTCGATTCATTGAATATCTGGCGTACCGATGCATATTACGTGCCACGCGTCTCTCCCACGCCGCGCTATCCGGGGGAAAATGGATTCTAAGGCTTATATTAATGGTCGTTACTTGAAATGTATCCCACATGGGATACTCAAATCTGAATTTAAAGTTGGATTTTTCCTTTTTTTATTTAAATCATATAATATATGTGACATTACATTTGTAATTGCGATTCAGCTGAAAAAAGCTCACATCTAATTCCAAGTTCAAATTTAAGTATCTCACTTAAGTTTCAAGTGATGACTGCTAATACGAGTTCAAATCTCGCGGATGAATATCGCCTAAGCGGCGGATACGAAGTTGATCGTTCGAGGCGTTAATCCTAGATTATCAATGTCAATTATTTTTACCCGCATTCCAAATAATAATTTAATAAAAAAATATCGTTAGTATTACTTTCCTCCCGTAAAGAAAAATTATTAAGAATGTTAAAGCAAGTTGCGAATAAAAAAAATAATTAACGGAGTTCAAATGACTTTACATCGATAATAATGGACTAACTACTATCGCTAGCATTAGCAATCTACGGTTAAAAGGATGCCAGGACCAGTCGTCAGCTACCATGACAAGTGTCTCCGCTTGAACACAAGTGGCATGTTGTTCTAGTCATTCCGTATAATTACGTGTTATACTTTCTATTAAACACGCATCGTTTTGTACTTCTTTTACAATTTATTCTGCAACGCAAGAACCTTCTTACACCTTATGGTATGTGGCGAAGATGACTCTAGCATTATTATTCATTTCTCGATCGATCGTTCCGCCCGGTACACGAAAGCATATTCAATATTTTACATCACTCCGCACTAGAGGCGGATATTCTCCCTATTTCTCACCGCGATCTCCAAAGAGTTAAACGCTTCGTGGCGGCGCGAGGACCGTCGTCGGTGCCTCCCGCGAAATTGGAGTGAGCGCGCGCAGAAGATGAACCGCTTCTTCGCGCCGGGCATAATTCCCACGTAATTCACTCACAGCCGCGAGGGGAATATTTACAAATGGGATTTAAATCCGGGAGACGACCGCGGTAGCCGCGGAATATCGTTTTCCGGCATCTAGCGAAGTCTACGGCGGTGGCGGAGGCGGATGGATGGAGGCGCTTAAAGTGTAAATAGGAAGCGACTCGCGCCAGACAAAGCGCTCCCATTCCAAACGGCCTCCATTCCCCGGCATCCCGCCGCCGCCCTCCTCCTCCTCCTCCTCATAGCCATAAAAGGGAAGGACATAGCCCTTCCATGGTTACTACGAGTCGGCAGTCGAATCGAGAGTCGGCGGAAGTGGAATCCTGAAATATTAATGTGACACCAACCATCGTCGTATTCGCCGATCCTTACCTCCGTCTTCCTCCTGGTTTTCCGTTGTCCCTTCCCCATCCCCAACCCTTCCCTCGCTCTCCTCGCGGATCGTACGTCCAAAACGTTTGACTTTCTTTTCCCCTCACGTCCGCTCTCGCGCGTTGCCTTGTTGAATCATACACCACTGCGTCGGCACGTTGACCTGGCTCGATTCGCGAAGAAAAGGAAGACGAAGGAAAGAAAACGGCGCTCACTTGTGTGCATGTGTGTCCAAGCACACGCGTTTACATACGAAAGGATGTCTTCCTGGGGACATTCGGTTCGTTCGGTGACATGCTGAGGTGTAATGCAAGGTGCAATTTAATGTGATTATTCACTTGTGATGGACGTGTTGTGTGTGTATGTATGAGAAAGTCTTCGACTCTCGATGTAAATGAATGTCACACGAATTTGACGCACGGGAATATACGCATTCTCCCGCGAGCTATGTCTTGCATTTTAATAATTTCTCTCCTTAAAACGCGAATATACGTTTCTTTCGATCAAGTGTGCGAATGTGCGTGATACAATTTGCAGATAAAGAGTTAGAGTTGAAAATAGAAGAAGGAGGATAAGTAGAGAGATAAAGAGAGAGCAGATCTAATATATCGTCGTGATATTAATCTAGCTTCAGAAAAATTTCACAGTGTTGAAATGCGCTCCCGTGTATTTACGATTTAAGCACATTACAACTGCAATAACGTGTATACTCAACTATTTCGGAAAGTTATACCAATTTGATGTGATTACTGTATTTATTCGAATAATATGTTCGTTATTGCACGCGCAATATATCGCAAAATCTCGCGCGCTTTGATGAACATTCATTAATAAATGCCTGATTAATTCATCTGAATATATACCGCGCGCCAGTGACGTAAAACAACTGGCCTCATAGTGGATCTATTAAAATCTCAAGATACCTGTTATTTAATGAAAAAGAAGGAAAGAAGAACTCCCGCATCAGCTACACTTGATCTCGCTCCTGGTATCCTGACTCAGTACGATTGTTTAGGACATAAGTTTCAATGTAATAATCAACGTACAGACACATAATAACGCAACTACGCGCCATAGCATGCATGATTGATCGACAATGAATATTTCCGTATTTTTTCGTAAATAATGCAAAATACAATTAATTACACGCCGCAACTATTATGTATAATTAATTAATTGTGGCGCAATGTATATCTTTCCATGTGACGAACGAGCCGCGTGGTTGCGCGATACAGGCACCGGAAATCTCCGTACGTACACGAGAAAACGGCGTTTCGCGGCGGCGGTTATTGCGTTTGCCTTCGACGATCCTTAAGGCGATGCTAGGCTCGTTTTCGTAGAATACTCTTTTCTTCTAATTGCATGCATAAAACTGCAAATGCTTTTACAGCGTGAAAGTATAAGCGATAATGAATGCCGCATACTAAAAAGTTGCATCGAAATCAACAAAAAATTTTGTATTTACTATTGAAAATGCGATGCAGGTGTCATATTTAGTTTCATGTGACAAATTTAGAACTCATACGCTTCAAATACATAGTATGCGGCATAGAGAAGACTTTCAGGAACATTATGAAGACATCGTAAGTGAATTTTAATAGATAATTTAAATAAAAAGAGAATTCCAGCAATAAGCAATATGTGTGCTAGCGTTTAATGGTTACGTGGTAAAAAAGACTTGATTTTTAGTTCACGCATGTCCTGGAAGAAAGCGCTGCATCTTGAGTTAGCTATATAAATATTTATACGGAACGAAGACGATCGTCAAAATGTCACATTTGATGAATACAGATTTATAGTCACCATCTTATTATTCTATATACGATAAATCGTATATGATAAAGCACCTTTTGGGAATATAGTTATATGTACCTATATTTGTCAAATATTCCAATTGCATTGACTATATAAAATAGTTAATTTCTCTTACCATTCAATATTTGCCACTTTATTACTATATTTTTTATTTCAAATAATTTTAATTCTTGGTAAAAATTTTACACGGGTCAGTTATACTATGCTTATATTGTAAATATTACAAATATTATGGTAACATAATGGTTTTCATTCCTGAGTGAGAAATGCTCTATTTCATTTTTGCATGTACCTTCACCATACAAAAGCATTTTTAATTCGATCAAGTCAATATGCATGTAGAGAGAACTAATCTTTGCAGAAAGATTCAGTGTCATGATAGTAACTGTCTCTTATCGTTTTCCTTTCATATTGAGGAATGCCCCGCTTCATTTTCGCACGTACTTTCACCATGCAAAAAGGTTTTTAACTCGGCGCATGTAGAAAAGACTAATCTTTACAGAAAGATTCGGTGTCATGATAGTAATCATTCCTTATCGTTTTCCTCTCATATTGAGGAACGCTCCGCTTCATTTACGCACATACTTTCATCATGTAAAAGGATTTTTAACTCAGCGCATATAGAAAGAAGTAATCTTTGCAGAAGAATTCGGTAATTTTGTTATGATAGCATTTTCTTATCGTTTTCCTCTCATATTGAGGAATGCTCCGCTTTATTTTTGCACGTACTTTCACTATGTCAAAGGATTTTTGATTTAATATAATCAGGACGACGAAAGTTTTGCAAGGGTGTCGATATCATGTCAACGAGATTTTCCTACAAATATTACTTTGTATTGACTTGACCGAATTAAAATGCTTTTGTATGGTGAAAATACATGCAAAAATGAAGTAGATTATTCCTCACTCAGAAATGAAAACGATGTGGAACTTTTGCCATCGTGACACTGATTTCCTTTTGCAAAAATTACAGCGCACTTACTGCTCCAATTTATAAGATAAAATTACGTGCGAAAATATAGTGAAACATTGCTCAGTGCATAACTAAAATAATATCTAAAATTTCCATTACAAATTATATAGAAAGCTCATATATTAGATAACATATTCTTCAAAACAATATTCGTAAACTGCATTTATGCGTAGAACTTCTCTAAAAAAACTCTTTCTTTGATTCACCCAATACACAGGCGGTTTGAAAAATTCATCAGAAAAGCAGCGAAAGCCTATTTCGGAGAGAATGCGAATATCGGCAACGTGGCATTCACATTTACGTAACGTCTATGTGTAAAAAAATTGAAATGACAACGTAGCACACACACTTGCATTCATATATCTATATATAGAAATGATGCATACATGAGAAAAAGAAAATAGCGGCATTATGTCAGCGCCTATTTGACGATCGCCTCTACGTTATCGACGCTTAGCGAGTTCGTCATTCACTTCAGCATCCTTAACGTTTCGTTCGTCGCTTGTTGCAGGAGGGCGAGAGGGGCTACTTGGAGGGACTCGCTTCGAGGTATGCAGACCTCTTCAGAACACATTACGGAGACGTCCTGGAACCGCTCGAGGAGCTACGCCGGCGAGAAACAAATGCTTCCTCCAGAATGCCCAACACTCAGCTCACCACCAGTCATTCGCAGCCCATTTACGTGCCCGGGAAATACTCGGTGAGCAAATCCCTCATATTCACTCGGCCGCGCAAGCAAGCCACCCTCCTCGCTCCAATGCCGGGCGATTCTGCTCCTTTTATTGCCTTCGCGCGCGCGGCATAATGCGGTTACGACGGGGTGTCGTGCAGTAGCTTGTCTATCGCCGCGATTTCGTCTTATTACTCTTATCCCCCTGACACTTCGCCAAATTGCCTTGGAAGGGAGCAAACTCGCGAGAAGAACATGTCCGATCGATCCTACACGAGCATTCGTCTCCTTCCGGAATTTCGTTACGAGGGGAGATTGTCGGGCGCAACGCGGACAATCGCCATGCGTACGGAGCGATCGACCTTCGCGAAATACGCGCCTCGATTATCACCCGGGGAGAAACTTTCTCTGCGTAATCTAATGCGTAATGTTCTTTTCCCTACGACGAAATGTAATTTTCGTGATAATCCAGCAACGCTCCTGTAGAAATCGAGTTTCGAGGAGAAGTGGCTTGATCGGAAGCGATTTCACGAAAGAAAATGTATCCAATAATTTTCCCCGAATTTCTCCTCGTCCTTCCCCGCGTGTGTCTTAAAAGTGAGGAGAAAACAATTCCTTTGAAAGCGAAGGTTTGTTCAAATTATCTTGATTAGAAGATACGTGCACGTTGAACGGTAAAGGGTTACTTTTTAATCTTCATATCAAAGGAAAAGATCGTTTCGCGAATAAAAGTGATAGAAAACGCGGATTGGGCGTTTAGCAAATAATTACCTAAATGCTAGAGCCGTGTATTTTCTTATCTTATGTATACGTATATATCGAGCGGTGCACTCAACAAAGGAGAGATTTGACGGAGAATGCTTCGCGGAAGTTCAAACACTTTGCATTTGTGGGTTCGTGGCTCCTCCGTGAGTAACTTCCCAAAGTGCTTTAAGGCGATTAACCATGTAGACCCTATCGATCCCGGCTTAAATCGGTTATTGTTCGTTACCCAGACTTTCCCCGCGGCTAATCGAGTTTTCAATCGCGAGCCATCGATTGACGATTAAGGTCAAGCTTCTTCCAGGATAGCCGGTGCGTCAATTTGGAAAATTAATAAAAGTCACTCGTCCCGGAATATCGCGTCTTGATTAAACGCGAAAACGATTGCTCACTGCTCTTGCTTATTCAATCGACTGAATTGTCGCTTATTTCTCTTTTTTGTCGTTTTTGTACGTTGCTAAAGCTCCTTAAGACATAACGAATGCGCTCAGAAATGTAACGCAAAGGGAACGAACGTATTTGACACTTGAAATAAAACAAATAAATCATTTAGATTTCAGAGATAGAAATTTGTCGTTGTAGATATACAGGATGTTCTTAGAAAACTCAATGTAAGGATAACAACTCTCTTAAAGTGAATCAGTGAAACATCATTGAAAGCAGTGAATATATACTGATTTGCAGTTATAGCATTGAAACTGCTTAGTGCTATAATTATAACTGATATGAGTGACTATTCACTGATTCACTTTAAGAGAAAAGATATTGATCTTTACTGAATGCTGGTTGAATCTCTCAAAAATCTCGCGTCAGCTCTTCTAGCGTCCTCTAACTTTCGAAATTCTACGCATAGTTTATCGGTTAAACGTGCATGAATTTTACGGGAAACATCTTTCGTATGACTTGGGAATCTTTGTCGGATTTGTCGTTTTCGAAGAAGCGAGTAGATCAGAGGGTGACCCTAACGTCCGACTATACAGTCGCTCCTCGTAAAATTCCGCAGTGCAACAACATCGTCTCCGTGTAACGAGTTCTTAATATGATCCCTCCACCCACTTGCGACGTAAGTGGTAGCCCGTACTGCTTCGCAAGCAAAACCCACCGCTCAGTATAAGGTAGAGGAAAAAGAGCGAACGCTCTCCATTTTTGTGCAGCCCTCGAGCTGCCTCAGCGACAAAGAGGAGGACGAAATCTATGGCTTCGGATACGGGGTCTTCAGCAGACAGATGCTCCAACATCGACAGCAGAAGCTCGCACTCGCCACGCAAAACACGACCGCTGTGACGCCGGGTGCGCCTCAAGCAGCTTATCAAAGGTAAGAAGAAATACGCTCGTGATGTGCATTTACACGTATCGCGACGACTTGAACGCGAAGTCGCACTCACAGACAGGCATTCAAACGGTGATAGACTGTTCATCGATGCATTGAGCAGACCGCGAAATGCTATTTAAAAAACCATAGTTTAAAAAATTCAGAGTCACTGTTTTTCCCACCCTCAAAACCCTATAAATTTTGTCGGAAACATTGTTGTTTGTTAGGCTCAGTTTTCGAGATATGCAAACCCATTTAAAATAGGACACCTTTTATAAACTGACATTTTCGTCATCAGAGATAATCCTGGTACTAGGAATAAAATGTAAGCGACAGAAATACGAGGATTGGTTGTTAATTTGATCATAGACTTACTACCTCGCGAGAAATGAACACTAACGGCGGCGTAATCGATCATTCACTCGTTAGCCGCATTAACCGCGCTTATCCGACAAGCAGCAACGTTTTCGTTTCGTTGAATTCTACAAACGTGGGAAAACTCGAGTCAAGGCAATTTTCGCATTTAACTGTTCGAATCCGGCTAGACAGATAACGCGCACGAATAATGAAATATTAATGCTGCCAGTTAGTTCAATATTTTAGATGTGTTGCTTAATTAATCTCTCTCTCTCTCTCTCTCTCTCTCTCTCTCTCTCTCTCTCTCTCTCTC